TGTTTACTTAAGTCAGCAAATAACGGTTTCATATTTATAAAATGTGTGATAGACACTGAGTCAAATAAACATAATAGGGACATCACATAAAATTAAATCACTAATGTTAAACCATTTTATGTTTGTTTAATGTTCCAATTAATGTCCGAAATTGAAATAACACATTTGCTTTCATGTAAGCATATATATTTGGTATTAATACTTTTATGTTATTAGGTCATACAAACTCTTCTGTCCACTTATAATATAAAAATAATTTTATCATAACATATATTTCTTTTAATAGTCAAATATCAAAGTTATTTGGGCTTTTTTGTAGACTTATTTTGAATATAAAATATGTACAAACTAGGGGCCCAGTGCATGAGTTTGTGCACCTTGAAAATAACTGTGGGCCATGAGGCTGCAGTTGGCACAGGGGTGGGTCTTGGCCTATCCTCCGTGCCCCCACCTGGCCCCTCCCACTGCAGCCCCCGGTCCCCTGTCTGCTGGCAGCATCGCTCCTGCCATTACTGCTCCCACATGCTGACAGCGCGGAGCGATTGGGGCCGGCGCCAGCAGCAGGTGCAAGTGGTGGCTGCTGCCCCGATTGCCCCTCAGGAGCAGGGTGAGGTGGAGAAGCACTCAGGGGCGACCAGGGCCAGCAGCCACCGCTCGCACCCACTGACAGCACTGAGCGATTGGGACCAGCACTGGGTGCTGGCAGTGGGTGTGAGCAGCAGCTCCAGCACTGGCAGCGGGTGCGAGTAAGGCTGGCACTGGCAGCAGGTGTGAGCATCAAGTGGGACCGCGGCATGTGGGAGCAAAGAATTTTCAGTAAACACCAGAGGCTCGCCCCAATAACAACTTCCGGCACCTCCACTCACCTGCTCCACCATCCCACCGCTGCCTAGCCTGCCATGTTCCACGCTCTGCCGCCTGCTGTTGATGCCTGCCATGTTCCACACACGCCCCCGGTGGTCAGTGCACGTCATAGTGACCGGTTGTTTGGTTGTTCCGCCGTTCGGTCTACTTGCATATTAGGGTTTTATATATATAGATAATATGTAATTCAAAAGATACACATCATCTTTTTCCCATCTCTTTCACCTCGTTCCCCACCAAGCTAAGACATTGAGATTAATCCTAGTAGCTTGGTATAGGTTAAAGAATTTTTTTATTTGAAAATTGATGCACATTGGACATACACATTGTGGGTGGATCACGAGAATTCTCGTGTTTTCTGTTCTAAGGCCTGTGGCCAGCCACTTATCTAGCCACTGGGTAAAGCTAGCAATAAAACTACTGGTCCATAATGTGTTAACAATGTTTCCTTGAGTAATAAAATTTTAGTGTATGCTAATACATTGCATATTTAGTCCCATCAATACGCCTTTGAGTTAAATTTTGTTATCCAATCATGTTGAAAAATGCAGAAACTGCCCTATCCGGTTTGGGTCCCTGGATAGAGCGTTGGCCTGGGGACTGAAGGGTCCCAGGTTCAATTCCAGTCAGGGGTGGGCATATCCCCAGTGGGGGATGTGCAGGAGGCAGCTGATCGATGTTTCTCTCTCATCGATGTTTCTAACTCTCTATCCCTCTCCCTTCCTCTCTGTAAAAAAGCAATAAAATATATTTTTTAAAAAAAGAAAAATGCGGAAACTAAAGCTCAAAGAGGTTAAATAATTTGCTAAATGTTACCTAACTCAAGTGATAGATTTGAGACTGGAACTCAGGCCCTCATTATGGGTTCATCCAGTAAACATTCATTCTCCAGTTTGTCTCTTATATTTAAGAGAAATAAAAACTTCATTAACCACATACTTCACAGTTAATGAGGAAATTAATTAAGCTTTACCATTTCCTAATGATAGGATATCTAGTTTCATGTTCACTTTGTTTAACATAATTGAACTACCTATTCATGTTCATATACCAAAGCAAAGACATTGCATTATTATAGATAGGAATATTTTAAAACTTAGATCATCTGAACTTTAAAAATATCTGGCCTAAGCAAAGGCATACTGATTACTAAATTTAGAATTAAGGAAACCTGGAGTTTTGTAATGGTTTTATTAATTCAAAGCATAGTTGTATATGATCATCATTTTTCAAAAGAAGGTTGAATATAGTCTGTCCAAGCTATCTGAGAGGGAGATGTGTGAAGGTAATATGATATCAGATGTTAAATTTATTAATTTAACTTTCATTCATTTAGCGTGCCTAATGTGTGTATCCTGTTAATTAATGTGACAGGTACAAATCTAAAGAAAACATGGGTGCTGTCTTTATTGAAATGCCAATCTTCTAGGAAGAATAAGATCTATTCCAATATAAATTAGAGTGATAAGTGCTTAGCATTGTGAGGTTTTCCTCAGCTAAGATGTCAAAGTTAACAAGTTAACAGTAATTTCATCACAGTTAATCTTATAGCTTTAAAACTCATGACCTTATATCCACTTTCTGAAAATGCTTACATACACATATACACAAAACAGAGGCGTTAATAAGCACTTGAAAAAAATGCTCAACATCATTAGCCATCAGAGAAATGCAAATCAAAACCACAATGAAATTCAACTTCACACTCACTAGGATGGCTGTAATCAAAAGAGAGATAAGAAGTATTGACAAGGATGTGGATAAAGTAAAAGGCGCATGCATGCTGATGGGAATGTTAGCAGCTACTCAAAAGGCTGAGCACAATTACCATATGACCCAGCAATTTCACTCCTGGGTATATATATGTAAGAAATGAAAGCGTGTGTCTATACAAAAATTTGTATATGAATGTTCATAACAGCTATTATTCATAATAGCGAAAATGTAGAAACAACTAAAATGTCTATCAACTGATAAATGGATAAATAAAGCTTATTATATCAAAACAATGAGTGTTATTCAGCAATAAAGAGGATGGAGTACTGACACATGTTACAAATGGATAAACCTCGAAAACATTATGATAAACAAATGAAGCCATTTACAAAGGGTGACATATTGTCTAATACCATTTATGTGAAAAGTCCAGAATAATTAATACACAGAGACAGAAGTTACAGTGGTAGTTGCCTAAGGCTGAAATGTTTCTTTTTTTTGCGAGGGGGTGGTGGGAAGTACTGATGGGTACAAGGTTTCTTTGGGGAGTTAGGAAAGTATTATGATATTGATGATGGTGATGATTGCACATCTTTGAATATACGGGACTGAAAACCACTGACGTGCACTTTAAATGTGTGCACTGTATGGTGTGTGAATTCAATCTGAATAAAGCTGTTATTTAAAAAATCAGATGGTGTTATAGAACTTTTAGACTTTATAGACCACTTTGCACACCTAAGAACAAAGTATCCAAGAAATTGATATATTTATTTGTAGTATTAAAGGCAGATTTATAGAGGGACACCTTGAAGAAATGTATATAATGTGAAAGTATTATTATTGCTGTTTTACTTATTATTTTCATCAAACACTAGTTTTGTTAGTTTATTCATTCCACTGTAGTCCCTATTGGTTAAATACATTACAGTATTTAGGATGAAACTCAAACAGCAATCCAATGAGGAAGAATCTATATCAGAATGTTATAGTTCACCTATCACTTGCCTCTCCATTTCAGGCATATACAACTTACTATCTATTAATATGATCATCTTTTTGGCACTTCATCAGTCCTTTGCCAGTCCATCCAGTGTGAACAAAATGAGCAATATGCCCAAAGTTTATTTGTAATTTAGTTACTTAGAGCTTAAGACATATTTACCCACAGAAATTAGCCCTTTGTACAAATGCTTTTTAATTTCCTACAATATTCCATACACTTCATGTAGCCACGTTGAAGCATTAATTAGGTAGAAAGTGGTGGACCTTTAATGAAAGAGGAGGAAGGTCTCTTTCCTGAGGATAAATCCTGGCCTGAGGTTTTGCAATTTTAGTGGGCATATTTGTCTGTTTTGTGATCATCGCGTACTTGGGAGTTAGTAGCCTTGTTCATCTTCTGTTTGTTCCCGATCATACAGCTGATATCAACCTTTAAAGAGTAAAATCTTTAAGTTATTCTCTAGCCTTCCATGTTAAAAAAGAAATGGTTCTCACTTTCTGGAGTATTTTGAAGTGTTTATTAAAACAAGTAGCAAGGGATGGAGGAAATATACTCTAAGCAGCTTCTCCATCTGACAACAGCTCTCCTATGGCTGTACTATAAACATATGATTTATAATATGAAAAAAGGAGGTTTGGTCTCTAAAAAGAAGCCATTTTAAATAGAGAATTAAGGGTTTAGATCCTTTTTCTTCAGCATCCAGCAGTGAGTTCAGGGGTGATAGTCATTAATATCTAGATCCATCACTTTTCATAAAAAATATGATTTTTTTCCTTGTAATGGTTCATTTGTCTGACTGGTTTATTTCCCACCAGAAATCACGAAATCCATTTCTTGTGACAGTATAATAGTTTTCACAACATCTGATTATAGTGGCACATAAAGAAGATTAAAGATATAGGTTAGAAAAGAAGTATAAGAAGACATTGAGAATAAACATCCTAGTAGAATTTATTTTTTAAATCTTAAAATCATAAATTTAAAAAAATAAATGCAAGCAATGGGTTGTAAATAGTTTGTTCAATATTCTCCTAAAAAATTAATTCATTAGATGAACATTTAGTTTTTACACACTTACCCATAAATTTTTCCCAAAAATGTTTTCTCCCTATTCTGACAGGAAACTTAAGGATGTTGTGCACAACCTCTGTTGAAAGACCTTTTGTTAAAATCAGCTGCCCTTAGCTTGCTACACCTTGAGTAATTAGTGATTAACAAGTTAATCACAAGTGTGAATATTATTAATGTATCTATAATTAATTTCTCTATTAACACCTTACATTTTATTATTCATTTCTCAAATTAAGAGTTTTCAAAATGACAACTAAATGGCAATTATATAATTTTTATTTAATAAGTAAAACAAAGTGCTGCTGATAATATTAATAATTCTTATATTTACTTATAACATCTTTTCATACCATTCTTTTATACATTTATTTATGTTTATACTATACTTTTTAGATGCCTTTGTGTAAAAGAAAGTGGTTGAAATGTAAAAGAAGCTACTTGGAATGTCTATAATATCATGTGTCTTTGTATGTTTACACCTGCTTGAAGGAAAGAGTAAATCATTTCCTGAGAACCCCACAGTTGTATAGCTAGTTCCACCTCTGATCTGCTCTGAAGCATTTAACCTCTCTTAACCTTGGTTTCCTTATTTAGAGGAAGTGGCTGTTGAGCCTTACCTAAATCATAAAGTGAGTGCAAGTAATTGTTTACTGCAAATTCTAAGAAAGGGTAATGGAAAATGTCAAGTATAAATGAAAGAGTTATAACTGCTTGCCTCTCTAAGGAATTGCAATTCACTCATTGAACTTCTATCATTTTTAAAACTTCTACCTTTTTTTTAAAAAAGGGTGATTTAAAGATAAGTACATAAATGAATATATATATAGTGTTTTGACTTGTTACTTTGATAGCAATTTTGAATTAATTGAAGCATACAGCTTAAACATATTTTTTATTACATTTAAATAGTAGGTTAGCCAAAATCCAGTAAATTTGGGAGTAGATTCTGTCAGGTGAATGCTAAAATGGATGTTATGTACTTTAAAGGGCTTAAACTTTTTCTTATATATTGATTCAAGATAATCTCCTTATTCATTCTAACCACTTGAACTTGGCAGGGTGTGTATGTGTGGTGGAGAGAAGAGACAATTGTAAAATTGTTTCATTAACTACATTTGCTCTAATTTATATATAGATTTTGTAAGCCAAAGTATATATGAAAGCTTCCCATTTCCTCACTTACTGATTTTCATTGAGGAAGCTTTGGGTTTTTGTTTTCTAATGCTTTTCTGAAATCAGATCTTCTATCTTTCCAGTAATAATTTCTATCAAACATTCTTTATTATGTTCATGCTCACTATTAAATTAGCACCTATTCTATTTGTATATTTACTTAAACATCCCTTCAGAAGAGGGTAGATTGTCTACAAACTACTCCAGATAGCAGGGTGCTGAATTCAGGTGATTCTTAAGCTTTGACTAATATCCTATTACTGTATCAATTTCCCACCTTAGTTCCCTCATCTATGAAATGGGAATTAATGATATTACTTACCTTGAAGGGTTGTAAAAAGTCAGTAAAAAAAAATTAAATATCCCTGGCCAGATGGCTCAGTTGGTTGTGGGTTTGATTATCAGTCAGGCACATGCCTAGGTTCTGGGTTTGATCCCCAGTCAGGGTGCGGACAGGAGACAATGAATCAATGCTTCTCTCTCACATTGATGTTTCTCTTTCTCCCTCTTTCCTTCCCCCTCTCTCTGGAATTAGTGAACATGAACTTCAGTGAGGATTGAAGAATGAATGAAGGAATGAATGTGCTTAATTTAGTGGTCTAACACATAGCAAATGTAAAAATATAATGATCTAACATAGACTTTAATATAATTTTTTAATACATGGTAAGTGTTCAGTACATGATTCACTGTACTTTTAAGGAATCATTTTCTTCTGTAAATCTATAGTGCAGATGAAAAAGTTGGGGGCTTTACAGTTAGATAACCTTATGTTCAAATTCTGATTCTGTCACCTATTAGCTATGTGACCTTGGACAACTCTATGTCTCATTTTTCCTATCTGGAAATAGAAATAATAATGTTTACTTCATCTTATTAGGAGGCTAAATGAGCAGCATATATGTAATGTCTGGCATATGATAAATATGACATGTCACCACCTCCTCTGTATACTTTCTCAGCCTTTTGCCTTGCCTCAGAACATTAAGCAACTTTTGCATAAAACCATGTCCTCTTTTTCCTGTGATACGCCCCAATGCCTAGTGAGTGCTCTGTTCACAAAGAAAACAAAGTATATGTTGACAGACTGTTTAGAACTCCTCTTCAGTTTTTTTCTAGAACTAGGCCACTTTAATTGAAAGCTGAAGTTTAAGCCAAGAGTTGTTAAAATCCCTACTCAGGTTTATACCTGATATCACATTCACCCCAATTCAAACTTGTGTATACACTTTACTTTATATACTCACATACAATAATATATACTAACTTCTATAATTGATAAAATGTCCATTTGTCTAATTATAAAGCAGAGGACAACATTCATTGACAATGTATTGGTATAATAATTATATATAAAATAATGAGATTGTGTTGGTCTAGGTTCAACCAGAAAAGCAGACCAATAAGTGAGATAGATAGAGATAGAGACAGAGATATTAAGAAAGAGTTTAAGAGAGAGATTGAGATTTCAAGGAATTGGCCTACATCATTGTGAAAAATGGCTAAGCAGTCCAAAAACCAGAGGGCATGAAACCAGAAAGGGAAGCTCACCAGCAGGCTCAAACCCCACAGGCATGGGCCAAAGCTGTCTCCCACAGATAGAATTTATTTGGTCAGGGAACCCTTGGCTATGGTTTTAAGGCCTTCCAACTGATTCAGTGTGGCCCTCCCCATTTATCCTATACTAGAGGCCCAGTGCACGAATTCGTGCACTGTGGTGTCCCTCGGCCTGGCTGGCGATTAGGGCTGATTGGGGCCGCAGGAGGTGGGCTGGGGGGAAGGGCCGAGAGAGCACACTGACCACCAGGGGGCAGCTCCTGCATTCAGCGTCTGCCCCCTGGTGGTCAGTGTGCATCATAGCCATCAGTCAACCAGTCTTTCGGTCACTTAGGCTTTTATATGTATAGATAATAAAACCCTAATATGCAAATCGAACGGTGGAACCATCGGTCGCTATGATGTGCACTGACCACCAGGGGGCAGGTTCTCAACACAGGAGCTGCCCCCTGGTGGTCAGTGCACTCCTACAGGGGGAGGGCCACTCAGCCAGAAGACAGGCTCACGGCTGGCAAGCGCAGCGGCAGTGGCGGGAGCCTCTCCCACTTCTACTGCAGGCAGGTGATGAGGAGCAAGAGCCCTGGACTGCGAGAGGGATTTCTGACTGCTGACTTAGGCCCGATCCCCAGGGGGAGCGGGCCTAAGCCAGCAGGTGGACATCCCCCGAGGGGTTTCAGACTGCGTGAGGGTGCAGGCCATGCTGAGGGCCCCCCTCCCCAGTGGATGAATTTCGTGCACCAGGCCTCTAGTCTAGAATACTTCTTTACTGGATGTCAACTGATTGGGACCTTTACTTACTACATCTTGAAAATATCTTCACAGCAGCATCTAAATTAGTGCTTGATCAAGTAACTGGAGCCAGTTAGCCTAGTCAAGTCGTCATGTCAAAACATTATCACAGCGGATAAATTTTTGTGAAAGAAATAGATAGCAACTTTTAAGTATTTGGTCTTTATTTTACATGAATTGAAAATTTTAACTTTTAATTTTTTAAGGATCTGTTATGTGCCTAGTATCCTGCTGAGAGTTTAAAGGAAATAGAGGTTTGTCAAGTTTTTTTCAAACTTAATATCTTAGGGTTCAAACACTGCCTGAAATTATTATAAGTATTGGTAGAAGATGTAGAACTTGAATTATAAATATGATTTAGATTGACAGAAATGGAGTGATCTGTTCCAGTGTATGATTAAGCATAGATTGAGGCATGGATATGTATGGTGACTAAGAGGATAAAAAAATAACAATATGAAGAGTACTAGACTGTGAGCTTTCTAAAAGTTGTTATTGTATTATTTATCCTTGCATCCTGTGATCTGGCCCAGTATCGGGGAAAAAAGTGTTTAACAACCACTTGTTATTTAAGTGGTTAAGAAATGAACAAAAACAAAATTTAAAATCTATCTGTATTATAGTGTGATCCATCATATGCATCCAGATCTGATCGTATTTGGAGTTTTGTAATACATCTCTTTTGAGACTAAGAGAAACCAAAATACTTGAACTATATCATGTAATTGGACAAGGAATAGTAAATGATTTTTTTCAGTGTTCTTGCTTTTTATGTATTTAAAATTTATGTTTAGTTATTTTGTGTTAAAGAATTATAAATTCTTTCTGGTTTGGTACCTTTTTTTTTTCTTTACCTCCCTTTTTTTAAATCCCCACGCCAGAATATATTTTTTCATTAATTTTTTTAGAGAGAGTGGAAGGGAGAGAGGTAGGGGGAGATAGAGAAAGAGAAACATCAATGTGAAAGAGACACATGGATTGGTTAGCTCCACACATACCCATGTGGGGCTGGGGATCAAATCTGCAGCCCTTGACCTGAAATCAAATCCTCGACCCTTTTTTGGTGCACAGGCCAGCACTCTAATCACTTAGTAACACTGTCCAGGGCTGGTTTGGTGACTTTCAGTGAACAAGACATCTTTACAGTTTTTCTGTAGAACAAGGAAAGCAACTGAATATAAAAGAAAATTGCTGCCGTTTTATCCTACAGAGTACAAATATTTGTTTGGGGGATTAAAAGTTTATTAGATAAAGGGTGTAAAGATTAATTAACTCTGTTATTTTTTATCTTCCTATCTCATTTGTAGGCTAGTGGTCTATTAATACATAGAAATTGCTTTATTTCCCACTGTTTCCACTTCTAAGTATTAGAAGAATGTCAATGGAACAATTAGACGTCCTTTCTCTTTTATGAGCTTTCCAAAATTTGTAAGAATTTTGGCTCTACTGCTTTTTCTCTTAGTAAAATTAATTTTTCCTGGGATTTTTGTGAGAAAAGTAAAATAATAGTTCTAGTTTATGATTTTCTTTTTAATTTGTCCTGATTTTTTAAATATCTAGTCAATTGATGACATGCAGAGATTTCCTTGTGGGGAGTAGAAGGAAGCAAAGAATATCTTACTCTGATGGCTTTTAGTGATTTTATTACTAGAAAAAATAAACATTGCTTTATTGTTTATTTCAGTCAGTAAAGTTGTCTGCAAACTAGGTAACAGAATGCAAAGTAGTGTATATACTTTTCTACTTTTTTCCAAAGAGACAATAAAAGCAGTGTTCCAGTGGAACATTTTTCTGAGTGTTTTTCTTGGGGAGTACTGGTAACTTTTATCACATGACTAGAACCCGGTGCACACAACATTCGTACACTGGTGGCGGGGAGGGGCCCCTCTCGCAGTCCAGGAACGCTCAGTGGACATCCCCCAAGAGGGTCCTTAGCACTGCCGCAGAGGTGGGAGCGGCTCCCGCCACCGCCACTGTGCTTGCCAGTTGTGAGCCCGACTTCTGGCTGAGCGGTGCTCCCCCTGGTGGTCAGCGTTCATCATAGCGACCAGTCATTCCACTGTTTGGTTATTTGCATATTAGAGTTTTATTATATAGAATTATAGATATAGTGAAAAATGTTAAGCTGAAATATGAGTCTAATTGTTGTTCCTTGAAATGTGACTAAAAATTTCAAAGTTAAACCTATTTTTCTGAGGTGACATCCAGATTTTCAGTTCATTTTAATCGAGTGGGACCCACTTTTTCCAGCAATTAAGCAAAAAGGGTATGTGGGGGTGGAAGAGCTAATATAATAGCAAAGCTAGTACATTGACTGTTTGAGTATTTTATTCCATCTGTCAAAGCTTATCTGGGATTAAGAATTTGGCACAAATAGATGTAGTTCTTTTTTTGTTTTCTTTACAAAGAAGTAAATTATAGAATAGAACTGTCCTAAAATAAAGGAGTGAAATGTCAGAAAGATGGAAAGGGGAAAAAAAAGCCCACATTATTTTTAAAAGAATAGTAACTCAATGTGAAAATAATGATTATATTAATGACTATTCACTTACTTTTTCCTGTCTTCGGTACTTTCTGAAAAGGAGCTTGTAAGAACTTGATCAGAACCAATATACTGATTAAACATTTTAATGCCTGTTTTGTTTGTTCATGGTAAGCCAGTTATAACTAATTGCTCAGTGTAGATGTGATGTGTTACACAAAAATTAAGCAACATATAATCATGCATGATTAAAAGAAGGATATACCTTACCTTGAACAAATAATCATTATTTTAGTAAATTTCAACTAATAGACTTGTTGACAAGAAAACATGAAAGATACTTTAGACAAATAAATTTAAAAATTTCAAATTAACCTACAATTACCTGCATTTGGAACATGTCATTCACTAGAATGTGGAAATAGGCAGTCATTCTACTTATCAACAGCTTCTAAAGTACTGAATTTATGATATAAAAGCTTTGTGGTGCTGCCTTTTTCAGAATTGTTAATGATTTGCTGTTTCTTACAGAATTTTTAAAGTCAGTTCATAATTGATCAACACATATTGATCAATTATGGGAAGAAATGAGGTTAGGCACACAAACTTTATTTTTATTTCAACATTATAAAACCATGAATTTATAAATAGATATGAAAACACACTCCTTTGGATATATATCAGGAAATTTATATATGAGAGCTTAATGTTTTTCCAGGACAGTAATAATAATTCTATTCAGGTGTTTTCTAGAACAGTCTCTTGTGGCAAGTTGATTCTGAGAGGACATTTTTATCTTAATTCTAGTTTATGTTATGACTGGCCACAGTTTTAATATGTACATTTGATTTTAACTGCCATATACTATACTTTTAGTGGTTATAATTGAATAGCTCTTAAATAAAAATTTCATTTTGAACTAGTAATAGATAAATTTCTGGTTTGCTTCTTGCCATAGACTATTAAGAACTTTATCCAATTTTTAAGGTTACTATAACTTCTAAAATTTTCAGAAATGATAGTGGTAATGTCCTCAAAAAAAGGAAGTGTCTAGCCCAGCCGACATGTCTCAATAGTTGAGTGTTGACCTATGAATCGGAAGGTCACGGTTCGGTATCCGGTCAGGGCACATGACCGGGTTGTGGGCTGGAACCTCAGGGCGTGCAGGAGGTAGCCGATCAATGATTCTCTCTCATCATTGATGTTTCTATCTTTCCCTCTCCCTTTCTCTCTGAAATCAATAAAAATATATTTTTTAAAAAAGGAAGTGTCTAGGTTTTACGATAAATAAAAATTAGAAACACTTTTAAGCCTTGAATTTTAGAGATGTGTATAAATAGATACTTAATAAAATGTACTAATTTTCAAATTGTCCTCATTTTGCAATTATTTTACTTTGATTAATTGCACTACCGTATGGACAGGTGATTAGTCTCATGGTAAAAGAGATATGTTTAACTAAAATTCAAGCATTCTTATAAATCTTTCAGAAAATCACACAAATTAGATGATTTCTTAAAAGGTAAAAAAGTTATTACATTTTAAAAGTATCAACACATGGTATGATTCAGATATTTCATTGAATTTTTTTAAACAAAAAAAGTCTAACAAGCAAATAGCTAATTTGTTCAGCATTTAAGATGCAATTCTATAGGACTAAGAACATACATCCCATCTCTTTGACTGTGGCTCTAATTACCTCAGTTTGGACTGATCAATATTTGATCTTTTTCCTACTGTGCAAACATGTTACTTTGACTCTGTCTCTTTCTCTTCCTTTTGGATAATTTACGGCCATGTTGGAATGGTTCATTTTGTTTGTTCTCTCTGGCTACAGGCCAGGGGTCTCTTATTAGTATAATGCAGTTCATTGATGTGAATTTGTTGATCTCCTGGGTAGTTTTTCACAAATTTAAGGCAATTAAAAGCTTTTATATGGCATTTCACTTGAAGTTATTAGTGGTCTTTCAGTGATTTTGCTTTTGAAAATTACTTCATCATTTTATGGTTATTTCCTTTCCTTCTCATTTCTCTCCTGTCCCCAACCTATAAAATCCTAGAAAAAAGGATTGAAACAACCATTTCATTGATTAATTTCATAAAAAATAACAACTTATAAACTTGTAATTTAATAACTTAATAATATTTTAATTAACACAATTTTTATAGAACTAATGAAATTTGGGGGTTTGTTTTTATAATACATGTTTGTTTTAAGCTTATGGATATTCATAATAGAAGCCATAATGAATTTAGAGAACAAGGACAAGAATTGAATCTAAAAATTAGTAATTGCTATAAAACTTAACATACACACATATATTAGACTTTTGGTTTTTAAAGAGGCAGAACTCTTTCTAAATTGGAGCTTTATTAATATCTTAAAATTTTCTCATACCTAGCATATGTCCATATTTTTGTTTTGTTTTTTTTTAGCTTTTCCAGTGAATGGATCTTTCTTTAGTACATCAGAAATACGAATGTTAAATAAAGACCTTCTTAGTCTTAGAAATGCTATAGCATTGATTAAATAAAAAAAAAATCCTTTGGCTTCATTTATATATATTGGAAATCATTGGTACCATTTCTCTATTCTTTCCCCATTTTAAAATTGTGTATTGGAGTTGTTTTCCTGGTGTTTGTCAATGGCATAGTTTCTATTACAGTACTTGATTCAACTTGTTTCATTAGTGTACTAATGAAACCATCAGTAGAGTACATTTGTGGTAACTTGGAAACAATTTAAAGCATTGGCAATAAGTTTATGAAATGTCATTCATTTATAGAAAGTCTTAATGTTTTATACTTTTTATTTTTAAATATTTGTGAAAATAGTGTTTATTATGAACTTAACTTCATGCGATGTAAAGGCAAGAATATACCATATTGGTTCAGAGGAAATGTCTTAGAATTGAACTATCAGGATATAAATCCAAGTTTTATTACTGACTAGCTGTGTGATCTTGAGCAAGTTAAATTCTAATTTCACTTTCTTCATTGACAAAATGGGGATGACAATACCTATCTTGTAAGAATAAAACGAGATAATATATGTAAGTTGCTAGCAAGGTCTGTAGCCCACAAGAAACATTCATCAAATGTTTGCTAAGGAGATATTTTTATTATTTGACAGACTCTATGTTAAATTTTATATATGTTTATTCCAAAATTAAGTCAAAGAAATGTCAAAGAGAGAAGCTGAATCCCAATAAAAAATATACATAAAAGAAATAACACATTTAACAAGTTGTTTATTTGGTTCTTTATAGAGACAGTTCTTTATAGTTCTTTGGACTTAGAACTATGTACAATGCAACCTCAGAATTTTGAAAAGGTAGTTAACTCTTGCATTTATGATTGAGTTATATTGAGTAAATAGCACCTGCCTGTTGCTTGGCTGTTCAGGAACACCTTAGGGCAGAGATTTTCAACTGGTGTGCCACAAGAATTTTTAAAACATGCAGTACCTGACTATTTAGTCAGGGGCACTGACCTTTTTTCCCTTGGATTGTCAAGTTAAAAAAAAAATGACAACAGCCAATACAACAATAGCCATCCAGTGTGAATAAATTAAAATTACACCTATATTTTTGTCAAATGGGCAAAAAATATATGTTTTGGTGTATCACAGGATTTTAGTAATTACTTTGTGTGCCATGAGATAAAAAAGGTAGAAAATCCCTGCCTTAGAAAGCTGACACATTCTTATTTATACAAGAAGTAAAATGATTTAATTCAAATGATATGATCAGAAGCTCCAGGTTTGATTTTTGTGACTCATAAGTGACTTTTATTCATGTAACATAGGAAATACTTAACTTTCTTTTTGAAAAATATTGCTTTATCTAAATTAAATGAATATTTCTGAGTGAATTTTATTATTGTTCATTGCAATGACCTGGCTCTGAAATGCACAAAACTATTCTCTGCCTCTTCCTCTAAGCAAATCTTTAAGGGAGAGTTTAATTTAAAAATCTTTTTTAAGTCCAAAAAAGGCCTTTTCTTGTCTAGTTTCTACTTACCTCTTACCTGTCTTTATACGGTGTTCTTTGTGTTCCAAACACACACACTTTCAGGTTTATTCTCTGCTAGATCAACGCTTTCACATTTCTGCCTTCCTTTACGTAGTTATCTCTACTGTTCCACCAGAGTTCGTCTGTCATCACTTTCTAACTTGGTCAGTTTCATTTAAAATATTCTCTATCCTAAATCCATGTGGCATTTACTGTTTCAAATATTAAGTGAGTCCATACTATATGCTAGATGCCAGATATACAACAGGATCAGAAAACCTTGTTTCCAGGAAACTGTCATCCTAGAGAGTCAGGGGAATGGGTAGAGCATGATAAAGAATCCTATCCTATATAATCCTACATAATAAAAACGTAATATGCAAATCGACCAAACAGCCAAACAGTGGAACGGCCATCTGGACGACCATCTGGGACCAGCTATGACATCCACTGGCACCAGGCCAGCCAAGGCAGGTACGATGCAATTGGTTGGGGGCCCGGCCATCGCCCCACAGAGGGAGGCCCAGGCTATCGACTGACAGGATGCAGCGGGTGGGCGGGGTCTCCCTCTGCAAGGGAAGCCCGGGTCCTGGGTGCCAGCAGCCAGGAGAAGGAATGTCTACTCTTGCATGAATTTCATGCATCGGGCTCTAGTTATATATACACTGAGTGGCCAGATTATTATGACCACCTGACGTTTGTAGGCAAATTAGCTATAATTTCCCGCTGAAGTTGCTAAAGGGCCAGATCATTATAAACGTCTGAATAGCACAACATACCTAAGTATCGTTGCTGATCAGGTTCATCCCCATAACCGTCAAACCTCACAGAACTGGACAGTGCTATTCATCAGGCATGGTGTCAGATTCCTCGCATCACCTTTCAACATCTCGTGAAGTCAATAACAAGAAGAATTGCCACAGTATTTAAGGCAAAAGGTGGCCCAACGAAGTACTGATGGGGTGGTCATAATAATCTGGCCGATCATCATAATCTGGCCACTCAGTGTATAGTTCATATATTCAGGTGGAAGTAAGCACTTTATAGAATAATCCAGGGAATCAATAAGAGCTTGACTGGCAGGGATTGGGGGTACTCTCTTTTAAACAGGATACTCTTGGAAGGTCTCTTTATTGAAAGTACTTTTGAGAGACGGAAATTATTTCAGGGGTATATCATGCATATATTTGAAATAGCACTATTCTAGGCAGATGAAACAGAGAATACAGCATGCTTGATGTTTAGAGGGGAGGGAATGTTTTGTGGCCCTAAAAACAGTGGTTAGCATATAATGCGTGGTCAGTAATTATTTGTTGAATGACAGGCTGATATTTGAAACATCGGCCTAGAGCATTGTTTTATTTTCTTTAAAACAAACTATTTATTGCTATTTTGATTGTCTTAAGCCTCTGCCTTTCAAACTAGCTTTAAAAATATCAGGGATATGTCACATCTTGGATGTAAAATTGTGCAACTAATTATTAGAGTTTTATCTGAAAATTTAATTCAGAAGTCCCATGGTTCTTTAAAATGGATGACCAATAAATTTTAACTTGATTTATCCTCAGACCCCTTGTCTTCCTACCACCACCACATCCCAGTTTTGAAGTGACTGCTCTTTTCTGTCGTTCAGGAATGGATACTCTGAGGCCTGTTCCAAAGAAAAGTTGTACGTTATCATTCAGTTAGGCTTTGGACATTTTATTACTGTCTTATACTCCTACTAAGGTGAAGCAGATCCAGTTTGGTGTATATACCTGTCCTACCAGCCCCAAACAAACAAAAGTAAATAGCTTTCCTTTCCATACTGCTTTCAGAAACACTCATCTACCTCACCTTTATGTGCAGCCCACAGACTAGTGGTTCTTCCCTAACTGCAGAGTTCTTCTGATCAGTTAAGACTTAATGTGGGAATTAAAAGAGTTTTTTTTCCTCTTTAAACATACACATATATAGTCTACCTTAACATATTTTATAAAGCAATTTTTCCCAAACTATGTTCCACGGGAAAAGAGTTTCATATCCAAATTGCCTAGAACATGTAAGGATAGGCAATAACTGAACAGATTTTTTTGCTGTGGGACAAAACTTTTTTTTCACAGGAATTCTTTTTATACCAGAAAGAACAGAACACAGTTTGGAAAACACTAGTACAAAAAGATCAGCTCTTTGCAGTCAAAATGAAACATTTTCACTACTACAATAAGGCACACATAAAGTCTGCAAGGTTTTTTGTTTGTGCCTTTTCCTCTGTGCAGTTGTCCCTTTAGGGTGACATGATGTGATGTGGTTGTTCTTTTAATCCTTTTATTCTAAGAATTACGAACAGGTTTAAAAAAAATACTTAAAATAAAACTGTAGTGATTAGTCCTGGTCGTTTCCATTTTACTGAGAATGCCTTTGTCAGAAATTATGTCATCACAATGGACTGTTAGCCAGGAAGTTCTGTCTAGCAGATGAATGAATTAAGAGTAGTGAGTTTCTAATAAAAGACACTATTGTAATATTGAAATACTACTGATGGGGCTGCCAATTTTCTGTCCTTAAATTTATAGAGCATGTTCTGTGATTAAAGTAAGGAATACTTAGAGTAAGTCCTTAGAGTAAACCAACTATAAACTTGAGAAACCAGAAATAGAAAATGATATTTCCTTTTAACAATGCCATTTAACTTCCCAATTTCTCTTGGTTCAGCTGCCAGACACTTGTTCCTTTGTCTCAAAAACTGTTAGCAAAAAAAACAAACAATAAATATACTTTACTCAGCTAACATCTGATTTTATCTGCACATTGATTTCATTTTAAAATTTTTCTCACTGTCTTAGTCTGAATGGTTTATGTAGCCCTCTATTATTATTGTCAGAACAGAGACGTTGATTTTTTTATTTTTGGAAGGAAAGAAATCCTGACAGCACTTCATTTAATAGTTTCTTTCCTATTTAAAATGAGGAATATTTCATATACATTTCAGAGTCCTCCCTCAATACTTTTTTTTTTTCTTTTGTAATTCCCATTGCAGTAGCATAATGCCTTGCAAACATGTATTCCCTTTATGGCTGGTGTAGAGCTTTACAGATCCACTATAATGAATGATGATTTGGGACTCATACATTGTCTAAGTTAAATATAACTCTCCTGCTGTTTCATCTACTTTCTTAGCTATTTGAAGTTACTAATCTTCATTACTCTTTATAATTAATAGTAACTTCAGTATGCATTATCTTCTGTAGTAAACATAGAAATGTTTCTGTAATATTTCTCCCCAAGTCTTAGCTTCCTCACTAATAATAAAATATGTTATCTGTACTAGGGTTTTATTGTACAATAATTACAGCATTTTCTTATGCTATGTCATAGCCTGTTAAGTAAAAATAAATGGGTACTTAGAATGGAAAATGAAATTATCCTGTTGCTTGAAATAGCTTAACTCAGGCTTTATTACAGGTTGCATATGGTATCTGTTAGAACTTTAAACCTATCTTGGTTGTTGAATTATTATGTGGATTAACTGTTGCATTTGAAAGTTCTTGACTTTAAAAGGATATGTCTGTTTTAAATCTTATACAAATACATTACAGGTTTTGAGAACAGACTAATCTCTCTGTAGTGTGTCTTTTTTATTTATTGATTGTATTTTTATACCAAAACTCCAAAACCTAAGCATCAAAAAATTTAAAACATTTCTTCGGATTGTATTATGATATCATTAATATATTTCTTAAATTAGATAAAGTCGGTCTAAATTTTCTTTTAATCCTCACCCAAGGATATGTTTTTTAAATTGATTTTTAAAAACAGAGGAAGGCCTTCGTACCTGAAACTATACTGTACCTGAACTCTAATTGAAAAATTTAAAAAAATTTTATTAAAGCAAAGAGAGGGGGGGGGCATGGGGGGAGGAGAGAGAAAGAGAAACATTGATGTGAGAGAGAAACATCCATCTGCTGCCTCCTGTATATACCCTGACTAGGAATGGGACCCAAACCCTAGGTATGTACCTGACTGGGAATTGAACCCATAACCTTTGTTGCACAGGATGACATCCAACCAGCTGTGCCATCCAGGCAAGGGAAAGTCTGTCTAAATTATTAACCTCTTGTTGGAAACATGAAAAAATGTTTTTGACAATTTGGAAAATTTAGAAGTTATACAGCATATTAAGAAAAATCTCTTATTATGGGACTCTCAGGAAAAATAAAACTTTTTTAATAGTACATATGAAGAGCTTTTCTAAAATTCTATAGATCAATCTATAGAGTTTAGGAAAATAAAGTTTTGGAAAAGTGTAGAGAGAACACATTTTCTCTTAACACTACCAAATTTTCTGAAAGTAAATTC